TTCGACCCCCATTTGACCCCCCGGGGCAAAATCGAAAATCCAAAACCTTACTGCACATCTACATGACCCCACCAACCATCTCCCAAAAGATGATTAGGCTCCTGAGTAAAATATAAGAGGAGTTCAGGGAAGACGGAGCTTTTTGCTTAAAAAACGTCATTTTTCGACCCCCATTTGACCCCCTGGGGCAAAATCAAAATTCCAAAACCTTACTGCACATCTACATGACCCCACCAACCATCTCCCAAAACCTGGTTAGGCTACTGAGTAAAATGTAGAAGGAGTTCAGGGAAGACAGGGCTTTTTGGACAAAAAACGTCATTTTTCGACCCCCATTTGACCCCCCGGGGCAAAATCGAAATTCCAAAACCTTACTGCACATCTACATGACCCCTTCAACTATCTCCCAAAAGCTGGTTAGGCTACTGAGTAAAATGTAAGAGGAGTTCAGGGAAGACGGAGCTTTTTGCTTAAAAAACGTCATTTTTCAACCCCCATTTGACCCCCTGGGGCAAAATCAAATTTCCGAAAGCTTACTGCACATCTACATGACCCCACCAACCATCTCCCAAAAGCTGGTTAGGCTACTGAGTAAAATGTAGAAGGAGTTCAGGGAAGACGGGGCTTCAGGGAAGACGGGGCTTTTTGGACAAAAAACGTCAATTTTCGACCCCCATTTGACCCCCCGGGGCAAAATCGAAAATCCAAAACCTTACTGCACATCTACATGACCCCACCAACCATCTCCCAAAAGCTGGTTAGGCTACTGAGTAAAATGTAAGAGGAGTTCAGGGAAAACGGAGCTTTTTGCTTAAAAAACGTCATTTTTCGACCCCCATTTGACCCCCTGGGGCAAAATCAAAATTCCAAAACCTTACTGCACATCTATATGACCCCACCAACCATCTCCCAAAACCTGGTTAGGCTACTGAGTAAAATGTAGAAGGAGTTCAGGGAAGACGGGGCTTTTTGGACAAAAAACGTCATTTTTCGACCCCCATTTGACCCCCCGGGGCAAAATCGAAAATCCAAAACCTTACTGCACATCTACATGACCCCACAAACCATCTCCCAAAAGATGATTAAGCTACTGTGTAAAATGTAGGAGGAGTTCAGGGAAGAAAAGTGTGATAGACGGACGGACGGACGGACGGACGGACATGAGTAACAACAATATACCCGAACTTTCTTTAGAAAGTGCGGGTATAATTTATTGGCTTCTCTTTTCTGCTTTCGCGTCAAGTGGCTAGAAGTTTTCTTCTGCAATACAGTTAAGGCAACATTTTCTGTAAAAAGTCACCGAATATGATACACTTAATGTTTAATTGTTTAATTTTTCGACAAGACATTCTAAAACAGCTTTATGTTATCTTGAAGAGTATGTCCATCGCTATTCATATCGGTATTTTTTGTCATCATGTGACCCTCTTAAGTCACGTGGGCTCCGATTTTAGGTCAACAAATGAAATGTCGAATTTAACTAAAAAGTTCAAGGGCAAGGCAAACAAAAAATACCAGCACAGTGTTTTAAATTGTCCCTATGTATCTATACTTTTGCAAAAACAATGCTCATTCAGTTTGTTTTCAGATATATTTAAGTTATGCAGCTAAAACAGACAGTAGCATATGAAAAATAGGGTATTTTCCTAATTTCATAGATAATTATAAATTATCTAAAGAATTACAAAGAAATGAGCATCAATTTTTGAAAACCATGCAGTAAAATGAATACTTTAAAATATAAACCTACGTTTTAGATTGTCGCCTTGCCCTTGAACTTTTTGATTAAAAATTGACATCTTGGTACAGTCAATCTAAATAAAGTTTTCAAACGAATCACCGACCCAGCATGGGAGATAATTCTTTATTACTCGATATAGTTTGTTTACCTCGTAGATTTTAAAGAAATATACTTGCGAACTGCCCTGGGAATTTTTACTAAATCAAACGGTATGCATAAAACATCCTGAACATTTGTTCCTTCTATTTTGTGACTTCGTTTTCTATACAATATATGAATGATGTATGCTAAAAGACGTCTTTCAGACATTCTGCATTTCCTCAAATATGTGTCAACACACAATATCATGCAGCTACACGTACGTGTACATTTTGCTGCAGCATGTAATTTAAAACGCCGATTGTTAATAAAAATGGAATTATTCAATTATAATTTTAAATAGTCAACTGATAGGCTCCATCAATGCAATGATTAATTCGATAACTATACAACTCTGTCACTACTGTACATACAGTACTTGTATACACATAAGAAAAGATTTTGGTTTGTTTCGTTTTATTTTCGCATACGAGATTCTATCATGGCTTTCATTTAAACCTTCAACTCCTAAGGAATTTAAGTTGTACGTTTTAAGAACTAAGTGGATAGCATTAATATTCCTGTATTTGGTAAGAAGACTACCATTTCATTCCGAAAGAGGAGGGGGTGCAATTCTCGAAAATGTTGAAAATACATATGTCCCGGACTGGATAAAAAATAAATAATCTGCCCCAGACCAGCTCTCGCCTCCTATAAATTAGAAGGTTTTTTTGGCTTACCAGACATTTTTTCAGTGAAGAAGAAAATAAATAATCTGTCCTTCATCTTATTGGAAATAAATATTATTTTAAAAAGAAAATGACTTGGGAAAACATGCCAACCACCCCTCTCCTACAGAATAAAATGGTGGCCCCCTTACATGTACCTGTTTTGAATCAATAATCTCCTTTTAGTTCCTTTTATTGAAAAACAAATTAACACTATGTACGTGCTGGAATTAATATCTTGATGGAGATTGACACCCACCACACAAATCATATGCAAGTTGATATATCCAATTCTTAATAGCCTTTTTCAATACCTATACAGTATAAGTAAACGTATATGAAAAAGTCAAAGCATAATTTATTGATCATGAAAATTTATTTCATAAACAGCTTTTCAAATTCCTAGGTAGACTTTATAAGGAATACTGAGCAGGTGCAAATTATTTCCATCACTTCATGTTCTTGTGGATGAAATAATTCTGAAAACACAAGTATGAGAAAATCAGGATATACATGTATACATACCATTATTGAGAGTAAATTGGTGTTTAAAATTAAATTAAATTCAAAACAATGTATTGAAACATGGAGCATTGAATGCATAATTAATTGAAAAATAAATTAAATGCAATTCTACTGTTATATTTTATGATTTTGCCAGGAATATTGCTTGGTTTATTATAGCTAATATGGAGCATACCATTTTCCTTAATAATGGATTAACTTGCTGCCTGAATGAATCCATAGTTCCAATTCTTTGGGAATAGCTGCAACACATTATAATGCTATAGCTATGAGATTACTAAATGAAATACATTGTAGAATAAAATGACATTACACACACAAAACAAATCATGATATACAAAATATTAAATAAAAACAAAGTTGTGTTACAAAACTTTTCTGTAAAATTAAAACCTCTGACATTTACTAGACAAAGTAATTAATATATGAAAAAAACATTCTTTCATCTTTACCAAAATGAAAAATAAATATAATCACACCTGCATGCTTAAAAAATGTGAAATGCTTTAGAAGTATACATACCCTGTGGAGAAATGGAAGGGATTTTTATTTATTCATCCTCAAGCCTGGAACTCTTGACAGCTAGCTACAATAGTAGAAGTTTTATATATCATATAATTAAAACAAAAACAATGTATAAATTACAGAATTTCATTGACTTGACATGCAATCAAATTAAAAAAATATTTTATTTCCCCCATTAATTTAGAAATTTTATAAAATTTAATTTACAAAGATGGATTTAAACTGTTGGTTTTGTTTTCAACATAATGACACAGACAATATTTTATAAATATATTATGTACATAATGTAGCATGTTTGTATACTGTCAGAAAGAAAACAACATAACATGTTTAGTAAATCATTGTCAACTCATTTACTGAAACAATGAAATTTCAAATTTAATTTAGTGTAAATCTGTATAACTGTTGTCACAGTTGATCACCATTACTACACATAAAGTCTTAGACGAATCCATGGTCAACAAAATCTCACCGCTCCCACCAAATAATGTAACGTGCAACGCGGCCGAGCTTGGTGTTTGGTGATATGTCTTGTATCACCGAAGCGTTACACTTAGGTTCGTTAACCTGTTAACTCAGATTTTTGTTGACCAATACGATTATAATCTAATATGTACAATTACAATAAAATAATACAATGGATCTCTTGATTGAACAACCACTAACTGTGGTCAACGGGTGTCTCCCGCAAATGAATTTCTTCTTGTCTTGCCGCTACGATTGTACAAGTTTCCTGCACTTCCCCCACCTTTCTCTGTGGTATGCCACCTCTCTCAGTGTATAACCAAGTGACTGCCTTATTCAGGTCTTATGTTATGGCTATCGTAAATCCTCAGCTATGTACCCTCCGCAACTGTATGCCTTATTCAGGTCTTACTACAATGTATAAGACGACACAAAGCTGTAATCTGTAGCTAACAACGTCTCCAGAGAGGTTTCAATACACTTATACAGCGTGTATTACTTCAGAGCAGTCCCTGTACATTAGCAGATTCATACTACTTGTATGATCGTAAAATTAATACTTTTTAGTGTTTAAGAAATTGAAAGATAACGTAGGTCTAACGTTTGTACGAAACTTACCAACAACCATTTCCGTTTCAGAAGGAAACTTCAAAATTTCCTATGACAAAAATTATAACCAAACTTTTACTTATCCTACGACTGTTGATAGAGATTTGAAAAGAAAAATTCTCCATTGCCTGAGGAAGTTTAACTTAAAAATCAATTCGACTTTTCAGGATAAAATGCAACCAAGTACTTCAAAACCAATAAACTCAAAAATTTACATTCTTTACAAAATGACCATACTTATAATTTTACAAAATACTTTCGAAAAAAATGACAGATATGCAATTTTCACAAATAATATATTTATTTCCAGTTTTATATGTACAAAAATTAAACGAATAATGTAACATATATTGGACTAACAAATAAGTTGTGATATTTATACCTCGCAATAAATTGCAAAGTGGCACAGTTAAATCAATCTGTAATAATTTAGAATAACTAGTTCGAAAATATCTCCCCTTTCGATTAAGGCATTTCTCTTAAATCAAGCTAAATTGAGTTTCTGTTACTAAAGATATGTTAAGGAAAAAAAGGGATGTCGACCGAAGGACATACAGATGTATACAAATGTATATAAGCAGATGGAAAAATGAATCCTAAAAGAAATGTGAACACAGAAAGTTAACATAACCATTTAGCTCGAGTAAGCTACAACTGATTTAAAAATAAGAATTATATCATATCATGAAAATTGTAAGACGAATATTTAAAAGAGCTTTTTTCTATTCCCCTTTTTCTGAAGGTTAAGTAGTCATGTAGATTTTCAGGAGTTTTTGATACAGCAATAAGTCACTATGCGAACAAATCTAGTCTGAAGATCTGAGGATGGGTTGACTGCCCTGATCATCTACTCAGATGTGTATACTCTTCTTCATTTGACATCCCAGAGGCACCTGTTACGGCGTGGTCATAAACATCTATAGTGTCATCTTCTAATTTTTCATTAAGATGATTGTAAATATCGTTAGTTTCTGATTTTACTTGATGTGTATTGGAATATTCTGGATCCCTTTTGATAATAGGTTTCACATGAGAAATTTTCTGAAAGGAATAAAAAACAAACTTTTTCAGGAATGAAATTTTAAGAAATTTCTTAAAGTTACCTGTTATTACAAGCAATGCAAGCTAAAACAATCGCGGATGAGATATTGTAAATTTTGAAGAAAATTTACTCTGAGATAGTAAATTTATTATGCCTCACAATATAAAGTATGGGTAAACATCATTTAAGCGAAAGTTCCATAAACAAAATGTAAAATAAGTTCTAGTTTTACACTACATGGATCTCAATATTTTTCCCCTATCCCCAATAGAATATACCGCTTGCTGCAGGTTCTTTGAATCCGTTTGAATATTAATTGGCAATTCTTTTCCATAGCTGATGTTATTCACCAACTTTGCTTCAGTATTTCTGGAATAATAATTTTGAGGAAAATGTAATCAAACTTACATGTAATTGGATAAATCAACGTATATAGATTTTTTAGAAGCATAAAACGAATGGTATAAACCAATATCTAATTTCATGATGAAAACATTTGAAGAAGTAGCTATTATATATACCTATACCTACACCGTATAATCTGTACTTGTACTACTCTTAGGAATCACAAAAAATGCGTTGTTTACCGATTTTGCTCCCTTCTCCTACTCCGTAAATGTATAAGGTAGACAGCTGCAAGACATGTCAGAATACCCAACACAAATCCCGAAATAACAGCAGCAACATTTTGTGCAATATTGGTATCTCCACGTTCTATAATAGAGAAAAAAGTTCTTTTGAATTGTTCTCATGGTAGGATTCTTCTCCGGTTTTGACTAAATGTCGAATACTTAAAAGCACAAATCTTCGTCAGGATAAAATTTCTTTTATTTGTCATTAATAAATGTTTCGTTGGCATTTAATTTCCTTGTTTTAAAAGTAACCCTATTCAATATATAGTCATATTACATTTCATGTGGGATTTATTTTGGTTGTTAATCATGTTAATTGTAAACAGAAATTAAACGAGATTTAATCGCCCACGAATAGTTGTTCTTTTACAGCATATTCAATATATATTTGCCAATATCTTTTCTATATTTAGAGTTGGAAATCTAGCAGAGACTTAATATTTTTGACAGAATGGGGGCGTAAGAAGACTTGAAGAATATTTCAAACGTTAGTTATGTTATTAATTAATTATTAGACTAAGGTTTTAGAATATATCAAATAAATGTGATTTTCCAAACAAACTACAATTATGTTAACTTTCAAAGGCTTCCAATCTAATAACAGATATGAGCCAACAATCCGTAGAAAGTGTTTTCTCTCTAATTTAAGGGGCAATATCCCTCTGCTCCAAACTTCACGACTTTTTAAAAACAATCCAGACATTGATTTTCAGCAACAACTATAGCATTAAATTCAAATGGAAAATAGTTTGAAGTATGAAGCGTTGCTTACTTTTTCAGAAATGAATAATATGTCAAATCATGATGTGAAGAAAATTTGATATGGTAAATAGAAAGATTAATTATTTTTTATCTCACAATTAAATTAGAAATATGAGGTATATATAAAAATAATATTTACTCTCATACCTATCTAATTCCCATTAGAAAACATACTGAGGCGCTGCTTTTTAAATCACAATTACAAATTGTTCTCTGTGCATGTAAAATAACACGCATCCGTAAACAAGAGTTATCGTTCCATTATCGCCCTTAAAAATATTTTTTAATGAAACAAAATATTATTTAAATGTTTATAAACAAAACTGCATTTGAAATTTCAGTACAATTAAAAGAATTATACTTTAAGAGATAGAGATTTCTCAATTTACACTGTTTAAAGGAACTGAGTATAAATGTTTCAAGTAAATTATTATAAATCATTAATGTACATACTAGCAATAGAAACTATTAATCAACATTTGAACCATAGAATAAGTTGGATTGAGTTGACCATAAAATGGTTTCCATGAATGAAACTTGTAAAGTCTGACATGACAATTCACTGAATTTTATGACATATTGTCTGAAGAAAGTTATCTCTCTTATCAGAAGAGTTATCTTTCTTATCAGAGGGATATTCCACCTTAAGGTTAGACGACAAGTTCCTCAAATATATGTTTTGTATTTCTTGGTTATTAGCAGACCTATTTTTGTATTCATATGGAGCAGCATTTGTGCAAAATCTTATGCACCCCTACTAATGTGTTCGGAACCTTTTATTTATCGGTGTTCTGCAAATTATAAGACCCGATGAGTTCAGAGTAGCTCTAGCATTGCTCTGGCGAGAGTTAGCGAGACTTCAGCGAGATAGGGTAAATTATTCACGGAAATGTGGCTAGGAAGTGATTAGCACATGGAGACATGGTAAACAGAAAAGTTATGTTGCGTTTCAGTTTTAACCACCCTAGAATCAGCTGACAATGTCTTTAGAAATTTACTTCAGTCAATCGATCTCTCTTACATTCATTCAAACTAGAATAAGTATTCTCTATAATAAAATTTTCTGCAGTCATGAATTAAAATATCTTTTTGGAAAAATATTTTTGTATTGGAACCGGGACTATATTTTTTGGCGTCAGATTAGCAAATGAGGCACCAGCATTATTTTAACTGACCAATCAGCTGAATGAGTATTGGCTTATGGGTTACTACGAATACTTCATAAATTTTACGCTTGAAAAAAGGAAAATCTTATTGTAAATAAAAAAGCATTTTAGAAATATGTTCATGCTCATAATGACAAACAATTCATTTGTTCAATAAACGGTTGAAGTCTAGGTCTCTGAAAGTCCTTCTGCAAAAGCGATTCGCGTCTGTATTAATTCCTTTGTTGTACTATCGGTGAATACAATTTCCAGGTGGATTCCCTGGCCAAACACGTGATCACGAACGTAAACAAAGTTTTGTCCATTCAAATGCATAAGAGATGCTGCTCGTTTTCCTTACCCTTGAAGCGCTGGTGTTCTGAACTAGACACAAACTACATTTTATTAAACATTTTTTCCAGTAAACAATAAATTAAAAACGCCCGTAACATTTTTAAAAGTTTCTTATCTTTGTATTTTGTTCTTAACAACATTTTTTTATTATTATTTATTCCATTGACATGATCATAGATATTCATTCAATGATTGGTCAGTTGCTCGTGGTAAGATCCTCTGTGTGCATCATAACAATAGCCATATAAGGCAAACAAAGGTTTGTCTGTGTAGATGATAAAACACATTTTTTACCAGCGAATCGGTCAATAGTGAGCTCTTTTTTTCTCCGAAAAGTACAAGATATGTTGTTATTTTAACACCCCCTCCTTTAGTCACACCCTTTCTGTTGAAAATCATGAAAGTCTTTCAGAAAGGTCTGGAAACATTTATTTCAGGACATGTTTTCAAAAGAAACAGGCTATAGCAATATCCTGTTTACTGCTAATTCTATTTATAAAACCGGTTCTACCCTATAACCTTTGAATAGATCAACCTAAACCACGTGTCTTGAATTTAAATCACAATAACATTAGTAGGGGTGTTATGCGTGAATAGAAAAAAAAAACATTTGCTGTGACCTACAACTCGACATTTAGAGACTGTAGACGTACTTTTTTCCACGGGGTCATAAAACCGCGGAATCTCAATTTCTGATTAATCCGCGGATAGAAAATTACTCGGATATCCTAGACTGTCACTATATGCCTTACATTTATATTAAGTACGCTTGGACAAATTTCCGCGGAAAATTGGTGACCGCGTACATAACGTAAATTATATCACCACGCGGAATAAAGTTCTTCTACAGTATATCGACGACATAATGTCAATTAACAATGGTACATGTAATTTCCATTCCTATGTCGGTAGTATATATACTGGTGAGCTTGATATAAAGATACCACAGAGTCTGACACATCTGTTTATTACTAAGGTAATCTAACAACCAAGCCTTATAAAAAATGTGATGACTCTAATTTTTCTACCGCCAAACTTCTTTTGGAATAAGTTTCGATTATTTTGTTAACAACTATCGTCGAAAATAAATCCCACACAGAATTTCATATGACTATATATTTAATAGGTTCCTTTTGAAACAACGAAATATAATGTCACCGAAAATGTTCTAGATAACAAGTCAACGAAACTTGATCTCCACGAAAATTTGTGTTTCCGCAGTATTTATTTCTATATTTAAATTTTTGTCCTACGCAGAGAATATAATCAACATCCCCGCTTCATAAATAGCCATTTTAATCTGTGTATCATAAAAAAAGTTTTGCTTTATAAATAATACATGAAATAACCTTGTCGCAATGCCATACTCGTTTCAATTACTTAAACAATTTTATCGAACAATTATATCAACAACATTTAAAATGAATTTCTGTATATTAACTTTAATTCACGTGCGATAAAAAATTCACGAAGTTCGCGAGAGCCTCGTCATCGCGAATATTTCTTATCGCGAACCGGTCCTTAAAAAGTATGTGTCTATTAACAACATACTTAAAAGGCTTGATCGCGAAAATTAATTGTCGCAGACTAGTTTATCCCTTGTAAATCGCGAAATAAGTCGTCGAGAATAAAAGTTGGTTTACAGTACCCTGCAATGGTTGTGGATTCTTTGATGTTTCCGTATCACCAGCTGGCAATACTTTTTTATCTACAAATTATAGAGGTTTTGTATTAAAACAGAGCAACATAGTAAAAAATAATTAAAATGCTTTAGAACAGAATCGTTTTTTATTAGTTTCTCTCACCATTCTCTTTCTTTCTTTCTCTCCCTCTCTCTCTCTCTCTCTCATCATTGTGTAAATTTTTTCTCTTTATCTAAAGTCAGTTAATTGCTAAAATGTGCTGAGTACGACATATAAAATGGTAATGACAGTAAACAGAGTATATATTGTTTGATATTTTAAACAAGATAAATGGATTGAATAAAACGGAAACGTATCAGAAATTGCTAGAATGCCTCAAATTCAAAAAAGGAATATCTAATTTACGCTCTCAAAATGTTCAAATTCTATACCACAGTCTAAGAAAGCATATGTTTAATTTACAAGTTTATAATAAGGACATTGTCAGTAAATACACATTTGTAATTTTACAATTGTTTTTCTACAAATTTACAAAAAGATTAAAAATCCATGAAGGCATTTTTAAAATAAAAATATAGTGTTTCCATTTAAATATAATTTTTTTTTAATTAAAAAGAGAAGACTGCTCCCGAAATAAATCTTTGTTAGGATGGAAGTTATATTATTGGTTGGTTTTGATAAACATCCCTTTAAAATTTCGAATTTACCCTCAAACATGTAAGTATGATCATGTCTCATGAAATGCTTCATACAATCATCATATATAGATTAAACTCAAGTATATTACTTTTACAAAAAGAATACAATTTCCGGTATAAAATTCATATATGAAAAAAAAGTTTCAGTATAACTAGCTTTATGCTCTTAAGCTTGCACTTAAGACTTCATACGGAAGCTCTAAAGATATAATAAAAAAAATAATTTATAATTAATAAGTCATAACAAGTAGGTAAATGTCCCTCTTCCACACATTCATGTGTACATGTAGATTTACATTTAGATGTCTGTGAAAAAAACATGATATTTTTTGTATTACTGAACTTGAAAGACATATATGTTTATTGCATGTATGTAAAACAATGTCAGAAAAATAACAGAAAGTAACTTAACAAGTATCGTTCTAGTAAAAAAAGAAAACAACAACACTGCATTATTTAGCATAATACATGTATGTGTCAAACATCTAAATGGACATAATCTTAATACTAGTATCGGACGTGATACCAAAAAATACCAAAATAATATACGTAAGCGTATTGATCTAAAATTATGATATAACAAAGTGTCGGCAAAATTTTAATATACCTTGAAGTAACTGATTATATAATCACTGATGCCATAATTTCAGCTGTTATCAAGATGGCGTACATGCACAACTTGCAGCAAAAATATGTTGTAAACTTGATTAATAAGAGCGATATCTTAAATATTGTACAGTGTGTGATAATGAAAAATATGCAGACTAGAAATACCTGTCTAGTTTTCATGTATGAAAAATAATTAGAGAGTTTGAACAAAATTAAAATCCTGACTCCCCAACCCCACCAAAAAAAAAATCAAAGTGAATCATCATTGAGAAAACCTTAGTAAAGTCAAATCTGTGTTCAGGGACAATGCAGGCAAGTGTATTTAGAGAAATTTGAAATTGGAATTGGGTGTGTCTGGATACAAGATTTTTGATTTTAAAACCAATTGACGTTCAAAGCTGGTTAAAGTTTGGAAGATTGATTGATAGAAAGACTAAAACGACGCATTTATTTAAATGCAACTAGAATTAAAAAAAAAAAATAGATATGCGCTTTAGGGGTTCTAAAAAGCCAGATATAAAACAAAAAAAATTCTCATGTATCCTGTGAAACTTACAAAACAGTGGTCATAAATTTCTGAGCGAGATTCTCCTAATTTATTTAGGATAATGTTGAAAAGTTTTATTTTAATATTTGTTGCCGTAGTAACTGTAATGGAGAATATTGGATATATCTTACTCAAAAATAAAATTTTGAATATCTGCTTATTAAAATGATATGTAAAATGTATATGGCTTTTGTTGTTATTTATCTGTCTTTAGATGTGTGAAATATATTGTGAAACACCCTCTGCAGTGTTCCAAATTTAAATTACCTAAATGTAAATTTTTATGTTTAAAATTGTATTGTTACATGTATTTTGCTTTTTTCTCAACATTTGATTTATCCCTTATTATCTCCAGTATGGAGTTTCATTTAAACAAACGATGAAGAATTAACGTTAATATGCTTATGAGACAAATTGGTTTTCTAGCCTGCGAATATGGAAATGCAATGTTCACTCACATGGTTGGCATGATCCATTTGCAAAATAATGTTCATCCGTACAGACACAAATGTTCTTTCTACAAACACTCGAATTTGCAGTTGCATTACACTGTTCATCATACCAACAGGTTTGATTGACTTCTAAATCAGCTATCATGAATGAATTATAGAAATTATGCTTTCATTTCTAATATAACTGTTAAGCAATAGTGATGATATTAAATTGTACATTACGTTTCAACTTCTGAATCATTTCAGTTTCAAAATACCTAATGTATAAACATGAAGTCACCATGATGAAGTTAATTGTATAAAAATTCAAATAGATTATTCTGACTTCTATTATATGAATTTACAAAAAACGATTGATCATTATATAAGAAATAACCGTCGTAAACAAACTTTAACGCAAGGTATGAATTGTATTCAAATAAAAATTCTCTTCTTACTTCGTATGCAGTGTCCATTAATCTCTCTAAATCCTGCGAAACATTTACAAGTAGAAGTGGCTTTGTCACATACTCTGTTGTATCCTGCTTTGCTGCATTGGATATCAAATGTACAGGGTTCACCCATACTAAGATCAACTGTAGTAAAAACATTAAATAATAATTCAGGGACATAAATGTAATTTGTATTTTCTTTATTTAACAAATTAAAGGCAGTAACTTAGAAATGTCGTGTTTAAGACAGAACTTTAATTTTGAAAAAAAGACATCAATCAACCAAGCCTGTCGTAAATTTAGCAGGGCTCGACACTTTAGACCACTTATGTTTTTTTCAATAAAGTGTTAGTATGGAGGCATAGAGTGTTTCGGCGGTTTTTAAAGAGAAATATGATTTTTTGCTCTTAAGGCCCGCCATCATCTGTGCAAAAAAAAAGCGACGACATCCTAACATCCAGACATGTCTCAAACTTATTAGAACCCAAGGCCTCACATTGCCAACAAACGCATTATTAATTACTTATGATGTGACGAGCATGTACACAAACATGGAATTGAACGAACTTCTCTCATCAGTAAATGAGGCTTACACACAGGGCAATAAAACGCAATTAGACATTCCATATCCGGACCCTGAGGATCTAAACTTCTTACTGAAATGCGTCTTGGAAAACAATTACCTTGAATTCGATGGAAAATATTACAAATAAATAATAGGAGCAAGTATGGGGACAGTCCTCAATCCAGAGATCTGTGACATCAGAATGTATCAAATCACAAAGCATATAATGGCACAATTTCCTCATGCCAGCAAAATTGTCTTCCACGGCAGATACCGTGATGACGGTTTCATAATTTTTAATGGAACGCAACCAGAGATAGAAGAATTCTTCAATAACGGCAATCACTGTCACAAGCATCTCAGATTTACATTTGAAATTTCTCCATCTGCTGTGAACTTCCTTGATACTACAGTTTATAAAGGACAGAAATTTCAAAATTTTAACAAACGTAAGCTTGATATCGAGTCGTTTATCAAACCATCAAATAACATTCAGTATCTTCACAGACAGAGCGCTCATAGCCCAGCTGTGTTTAAAGGATTCATTATAGGAGAATGCATTAGACATGCAAGAAACACTACTGACCCTGAAATATTACATGCAACACTTAATGACTTCAAGACGCACTTATCAAAGCGAGGTTGTTCTACTTCGGAAATTGATCTTATTATCAAGGAAACGGTCAACACAAACCGATCAAAACTCATCATCAAAGAGACTAAAGAACAGTCATTACGTAACCCTACAGTACTGGTTACTAAATTTAACCATTGCGTTAAAGGACTGAAAAAACGAATTCTGAAATACCTGGACACCATTCTTAGAAATCCAGAATGCAAAACTTTATTTAATTCTCAACCAATCATAGCTTACAGCAAACACAAGAATACAGGTGACGAAATAATCCGGTCTCACCTAAAACAAACACCATGATTTATGTCCGTGACCCCTGATGAGGCTTCTTAATAGCCGAAACACTCTACAACTACTTGCATAATTCAAATCAAATATTAATCTGCTCTATGCAAAAAATCATATCTACTAGAAGTGTGGTTTGGAGTGTCGGGTCCTAATAAATCTCTTACAAGTTTGATTGATTGATGTCGCTAATTTTCAAACATTTTGAATGATAACGCAGCACAATTAAGGTTACAAATGGACACATCGGCAAGTTTTAAAGCTAAAAATTACATACTTTATTAGGATGGGCGATTCTTTTTAGGCCTTCACTGATTTAAAAAAATTCAATGTGGTTTTAATCTGCATGTTGAGGACTTTAAGATTTTTATTTTGATTTGTCACGTGATGTCGACGTCGCATGATTTTAGCAATTATACTTGCAGTTTAGAGGTCATCTATAAATTCCAATATTGCAAGGGCATAACAAAGTTAAAAACGTAGTTTAATTCATAATCCTTTCAACACTATATGTCGTTTGTGAAAAGTGCGGCGAACCTAGTAAATATATATTCCCTTTTTTAATTGCTAAAATTTAATTTTTTGGAAGGCAGGTTGAATATTTTGCTGGTCAACTTCATTAAATATAGCTATAATTAATTTATTTGCAAGATTTCATGAGGTTCGCAGCACTTTTCAAATATCTTAATGCTTCTTGATTTTATGTGTAAAAACTTGATAAGATACATTGAGGGTATGTCCTTGCAATAAATCGATTTATTAGGGCCATTCCATTATTTATTCAATGATTCTGCATACAAACACACGACAGCATTACTTTTCTGGAGAATGTACGGATAGTTTATAAATAAAATATTACAGTAGACATCGCATCCAAATAAACGGTCTTTTATTTAATTGAAATAATATTTTATTTGAGAACAAAAGACATTTTTCATTGTGCAAAATGTGACTTGATCATCTTCTCACTGTGTACAAACTGCGTCATTTTTGCAAGATGACGTCACATTGACAAGTGTATTGCGATCGATGGATCGTTTATATACTGTTGTGTGGAATTTAACAAACGACAAAACTGCATGTAATAGTAAGTTTATATGTAGTTAACAGCTATTCAGCTGTTTGAAATAGCAAATAATTTCATTTTGTGGTATTTTGAAGACCTTATATTATGTTACGTCATAGTATATATTTTCCGTATGAATTAGGCCCCGCCTCTTTACTTTAACCTAACTGTGCTGCGAAATGTTAAAGGGAATTCCCGAGAGAATTGAAAATGATGTTGTAAATTCGTGTATCAAAATACCTTTTTATAGCTAAAAATCTATAATGTACATTAAAAATCAGAAATAAAAGACTAACTGTGTACTTGTCAGTGTACCTTTTCTACAAATGCTATTTAATCGCAAGGTGTCATTTAAGCAGACGCAAGTACCAATGTAGCCTAGTGCGCCGTAATTTCTCCTCAAACACTCTTCATTCTCACCACACCAACTGTTTTCTTCGCAGCCACCTGATAAGTGAAAAAATGCATGGGACATTCCTGGCAACATCGATCACCTGATTTCTTATGAACATGTTGGACTCTCTTAACTTTTTTTCTTTGTACTGAAGAAGGGACAGGGCGTCCCAAAAATTTGACAATTTTTATTGTTTATGTCGTCGGACATTATAGTGCTTAATATCAAATTTCCATCTGCGACCTTGTATCTTCTTTGTCGATCCGACACTTAGGATAAACATGTTCAGTGTTGTTGGGTTTTTAGTGCTATATATATATATATATATATATATATATATATATATATATATATATATATATATATATATATATATATATATATATATATATATATATATATATATATATAAAATTTAAGTTCACTTGTATCAAGCAATTTCATTGGCTGAATCATTCAGAGGAACATATAACATTTTGTATAACATAACTTGCCTACGTCACAATGAGTTACGTCAAAAACGTATTAATCCGCTTGACGTTACTTTTAAAATAATGCTCAGTTTGAAGCCTTTTTCCGGAGGAAATATTGGCTCATTGTCTACACTGAAATTAAATTATAAGGAATGAAGCTTATTTCAACTTATGTTATCCGATATAACAAAACTTGGGGCAGTTTACGCTTTCTTATAAACCGCTTCGCGGTTTAAAAAGCGTAAACTGCCCCAAGTTATGTTATATCGTATAACATAGGTTGAAATAAGCTTCATTCCTTAAATATATCCAAAATTTAAATAATGTCTCAGTAATCGGATAACAATATTTAAAAAAAGTAAAAAGAAAACACAGAAATCCTCAGATAAGCTTTAGCGCTTTCATTTTCAATTTTCAGAAGCTTACAATAGTATCATAGTAATAGTAACTGTTACTATGATACAACTGTAAGCTTCTGAAGATTGAAAATGAAAGCGCTAAAGCTTATCTGAGGATTTCTGTGTTTTCTTTTTACGTTTTTTAATATATATATATATATAAATATAAATATATATATATATATATATATATATATATATATATATATATTACAGGAAATAAAAAGCTCTTACCGTATGCCTGAATATATAGAGTCCTTTCTCTAACATACGATGAATTTGTAATACAGTTTATAGTCCTTTTCCTGATCTGGAACGTTCCACTTAATTTCTTAAAAATGCTCATTCGTGCAGTTTTTAACCAATAATAATAAATATCTTCATCAGAATTATAGCCAAAATAAACATTACAGAAGATCTGTGATTTACAAGTCGGCGGACCTGCCCTTTCTGAAACAAAAAATAGCAAGATATTGTACAAAATACCTTTTTATATAGAGCATTGTTATTATAGTACAATGACTGTGAAGCTAATCAAACGGTCAGCAATTTTTCATTTCACAAGTTATCTTTTTGGAATTATTTTAAAACAGTGAATCATTGGAAGCAATAATAAAAAAAAACCATTACATGCGTCTTCATTATGCACAAAAGCACATGTGTTTGTTGACAAGCGACATAAAATTTTAACTGCTTTATGTGTATCAATGAATTTTATGATATCTAATAAGCGTAATTTTTTCATCATAGAATAAAGCAAAAATCGTAAATTTCATTTTTCAATAGATTAGTAATGTTTTGTAAGCGATGGTACGTGTACGAGGGTTGATCCAAAAGTAATGTCACAACTTTGATAAAATTGCTATAGATCGACGTAAAACAACAAAATTATACATGATTAAATGTTTATTTATTTCAAATCAGACCTGAAAAGTTCAAAGGAATATATGACGTATACTTTTCAAAATATTGGATTTTAAACAATGCGCGTTTATGGTAGTCGCCGCACCTAATTAAATATAACGTCGTACGACGCATACGCAGCGTCATACTTTTAAGCCTATCCCCTTCGTTTCATTAAAACATATTTGTGATTCGCAAACACTTTCACCCATTCCACTTTCTTTAAGAATTCTTGTAACATTATACACTCACTCTTTTTATAGTTAATCCCTCTGTCAAATATTTCTTGAACAGCATAAGACAAACTTAAAAATTCACATGTCACTCTACCCGACCGTCTTTTTGACAACGTCAGGCACCATTGAACGTTTCCGTCCGATCTCCTATCTTTCGCTCTTCTTGTCCTCTGCTACTCATTCAGTGATTAATCACCCGCCTAAAATTGCTGAAACCATCTATGAAGATGTCTGTTATTAACATTCCTTATTCTGCAAGTCTGGTTGATTTACGAAAATGTCGCTAGTGATGATTAACATATCTTGAAGCAAAAATGCATTACAACTCGTCGAGCCTTTTTCCCCATTTCAACAATCCCTTTGTTCAATTCAACAGAGTAAAACAACAATGTTTATGATCAAAATACCAATATCGTCATTTAATTTTCATTTAAAGACTAGAAAATGACGAGAATAGTGTTTTTTTTTTAATTGGGAGATTAGGTGCTTTTTTAGAATCTATTTGATGTGTTTGTATTTTTTATTCTAAGAAAAAAAAATACACTAAAAAACGTGACGTTCCGTTTTGACGCGGCGACACCCCCTATACTCTATGTTTTAAACATATATAAAATAAATTCAAATAAACATTATTAAATTAACATTTCAATGTTAATTATTTAGATTTATATTTGTGCATCTTTTGATATATTGTATCTGATAATATGACGCCAAACATAAAAGATATGAATACTGTGACATTACTTTTGGATCAACCCTCGTATATCCAGGCTGTGCAACCTCGAACACGACGTTTTTTTCGGTCGAAGAGTAGTAGAGAAAAACTCCTTTGGTATGAACATTTGACATCAAAAAATCCCGTTATATGTAATTAAGGTATGTGTTAGACACTTTTGTTCCATAGAATCTGGATTTTTTTAATCTCATTCTGGAAGTTGTTAGAAAACGTATCGTAAATTTTAGATGGAGTGTCTAAACAAATGAGACCTTGAAAATGACGTCAAAGGGGGAGGGGGGGGGGCTTTTTAACATTCCTCTTTTGTCCCTGAAAGAACTGGTATAGACTTAAGGAATTAATAGATTGGTTACGTAGAAATAAAATACACACAGAGTACTTGGCTAGTTTTTTTATGCCAAAAGAAATACAGAGAGAGAAGGGATGTACAGTTAAATGTGAATTTTTAGTCAAGATGTGAAAAATCAATTACATAAAAAAATGACGCTGATAATTATGATGTACATGTATGTATTAAACTCCAAAAAGCAAATTACAATCAAGGGAGGTTCTCTCTCAATATATAGGTCCATTTGCAAAATTATATGCTTTGAAAGCCGCTGTTCACGACATTGTAAAGTCATACACACGACAGGTCGAAGTCCTTAATATTCAGCTTCAGGAAACATATAAAGTTAAAAATTTCAACATTTCTTTTATTATGTTTTTTGTTACATAGTACTAAATTTATAGCCTCAGTTCACAACCTCTTTGATGCCCCCTCGGATATGGAATTCACATGCATAAACAATCTAAGCTCTAGAAATTTATTACAATACTTCATATTTGACCAATTTAACTGTATACATGCATATTTTTTTTCCTTAAAAAGATAATAAAAGCTTTGCACAAGTCTAAAGGTATTTATATATGTTAATCATTAAGGTTAAAAATAAATACAGATATTTAATTTACACACCTAAAAAAATATTTCATATAATTTAATTATTTTGACAATTTAGACTTTGTATATGTTACATGTACCTGTCAGCCGGCGTTTAACTTCTTTAAGCGGAATACTACATGTATTTTCCTTCTCTACAAAATCTTTTACTCCTTCCAGACAAATGGATCTATCAAGAAAGTTAATGGCATAACTAGTAATAAAATGAATATTAAATAAATTTATGAATAATTAATTGGATTAATAAATCTTTACAACTCGTTTGAAGAAGGGAAAATGATTTAAAGACAATCTTTAGAGCAAAAGATAGGAACGAACATTTCCTCTTGTCAAAAGCAAATTCAACCACTTACACTCAGTACTTTCTGTAGCGTTGCTCCTGAACACAAATAACACAGAATTGCTCGTAAGAGTAAATAATTCTAGCGTTTCAGAACTCGAGTAGGGAGATATTTATTTTTTATTTCTAGTTCAATTCCAACGATTTAACTTCTAAAAATCCCTAAAGATTGAAGCCAAATGTTGCAAAACTACTGGCGAGTAAATAATTCCTAATTGATCCGTGGATATAATATAGGAAACAGGCAATGCATACATATATGTGGAAATTATAAATATAACACTCCAATTGGTTCATATCAATTAACGTTGTGCTTGGTAGAAATTATGTGGTAATGGGATACAGTTGACGTAAAACTAAAAATTTACATTTTTATTCTCAGGATGTCTGAAGATCTCTGCATGTATTAGGGTTTTTTTTTTATTTTTTTAGTAGTGCATACATGTTCTAATAGATCAGGAGTAAAATTGATCTTTGGTTAACATTTAAAATACAAGTAAAACTGAAACCCTCATTGTGATGATAAGGTATGCAAAATTGAGATATAATCTCTTGGCATTTTAATGTGACTTGGAAATTTCCATAGAAATTCTTAAGGTTAAAGGTTCATAAAACACTATCATTCTGCTTGAGTTTTGAAATTTCGTGGAATATTTGCTCACTAGACGTCAGCGGATAGCTCACCATATTTCCCTCTTCTTTTTCGTCTTCCAAACAGTTAAAAAGGAGTTATAAAGTCAGAAGTCAAATAGAACATCAAATTGCTTCTTTTACTTGAAGACACAGCTTTCTTTTTCTTTATTTAATTTTGGTACAGAGTTTAACGATACAATGATTTCACAAAGAGCCATTTAATACAAAGTATGCTAATATTAAATGAATGAAAAATATGGATTTATGAATTTGGTTTTTTTAATATAACTTCCGATATAAACGACGACAATGAAACTTAAATTTAGGAAACTACAATTAAGTATATCAAAAAATATCAAAAGTTGGCTTTTATGAAAAAGGTTTATTAAATCAATCTAAAACTTACCTTGTAAATAGTATTGAATGTACTTCAGGAAGTGAAAGAAGAAATATAATTGCTCGTACAAACGCCCAGAAACCTGAATTTTAACGTAAATGTAAAGTAAATTAATCAAGTTCAATAAAAACAAAAGTAATATAATTTAAAAAAAAAAAATAATGCTCAAAGTACATTTTATCGATTTCTAATACTGCGCAATATAGTTAAGTGTCAAGGATTTGTAAACTATATAAAATGTCTATCATAGTCAATAATAGTAAACTATAAATATAAAAGTATCGTAACTACATATTAATATCTATATTGATATTTGTAAGGATAGTGAGCGGCGACATGCTGCAAAAATGGTAAAAATGAATACCTCAAGCATAAATATCTATACACTTAGCTCTTTAATACCTAAAAGTTTCAGGCATGGTAAACCTTACACTTTAATTGGTTGAAACAAAAATCTTTAAGAAACATTTTTATTCTTTTATCTGATTATATACATGTATGTTCTAAAGTGAGCTATTTATGAATATACACATGTTTTGTTTAGTTTAAAGTACAAAGACATCCTAATAAAATTAGTTGAAGAGAAATTAAGGAAATCTAGTATCGTATTTAAAAAAAGACGTATATATGTATTTACATTACATCATGCGACACTACATGATGCGTTAACAAATATCTCAGCATGGGAATATTAAATAACTTAATATAATATAATAAATTAATATATTTAAAAATTAAATTAATCATTTTAAATTGGATCAATGTAAATTAGATAAAAACAAATATTGCGATCCCCCGGATAAAATACTGATTAAGCACCCTATTGATTAAAAGAGGCTCAGGGAATATATCACTGACCTAAGCAACTATATCCAACTGACTATTGTTTGACCAAAGGAGCTTTACAAAACCAAGAACAATAAAAAATAAACAACTTGCAATTGTATAAAATGCATAAACAATTCTTGTGCACCTAAATATTAATCAAATAACTGTCACATAAAGGCAATCATCTTTTTTAAAGAGCGTTGTATCAGACCTGTATAATTACGTTAGTTTATCATGTAAAAATTAAAGGGTCTCATTGCAACGACTTTTTTTCCTCAGTTAAAGACCTTTTCTTGTTATTCTGCAGTGTCGTATTTAATCAAGATCTTTTTACATCTTTCGTATTTTTTTCAGAAACTAAAATGCAGTTCCGTATTTTCAGAATTTTTTCATCATTTGCTGAAAAATCACTTCTTATTGCAATTTTTGCTGTATTATATTTATTGAAAATTTTCAAAATGTCCATGTATTTGCTTTATATGTATAAATTAATCAAGATAAAAGAATATTTTCAGGGAAGATTGAAAATCTGTTATTTGAATGCACCCTTCATTTTGACATGAATTTTTTTCTGGTCGACAACAAAGCCATATTTTATTTAGCTGGATTGAACTGATTTTAGTAAAGGTATATAAAATTTTTCAAGTTCAAAAAAACATATTAAGCGACATAAAATAAGAACAGAGCAAACACGGACATTCAAAAACATCATAGGTGGGATCAGGTGCCATGGAGGAGTGAGCATCCCCTGCCGACCGGTCACACCACCCGTGTGCTCCATGTCATGATCAGGAAAAAATGGAAATATTCTTCGTCAATTCAGTGTTTAAATAATGGACTACCAATTTGTATGAAAGACGTCAGTCAGCATTTGACTGTATGATGAATTTTATTTGATGACAAGGTCATTGTATAGACCATAGAACTTTCTCAAGAACAACAAAGCCATTGTTATAGATACGGAAGCATCCTCGGGTAGTTTGGCATTCAGTTCACCTAATTTCAACTTTTCAATACAGAATTGATTTTTTTTGTTTCCAGTCAATTACTTCAGGTGATCGATGTTAGCGAAGGGCCTCTTGTTTATCTAATATAACTTAAACTACACTTGGATTTCGTGCATTATGTAACACTTTTAAGGGAAAAAAGGGCACACACACACACACCCTCACACACAGAGAGAGAGAGAGAGAGAGAGAGAGAGAGAGAGAGAGAGAGAGAGAGAGAGAGAGAGAGAGAGAGAGAGAGAGAGAGAGAGAAAATAAACAGAACAGAGTGAAATATTCACCTTACCTAGCAGTTTTCCAGTCATTGTTTAAAAAAAAACATATATATTAATTTTTCATAGTCTTTCTCTAAACTGACAATAACATGATTGAGATTTTCAGTTATTTACTTCCTTCTTGTGACCCCTTCCTATATGTATTGACGCGGTCTGTTGAATTTGATTTAATACAAACAAATTTAAAGCCTATCTGAGTCACAAATAAATACTGTAAAGGAAAGTCGATACTAGGATAGCCAGTGGGAGATTTACGTACAAATTAAGAACTTGATCTTTCAAATGGGGAACTTTACATACTTCGATCAATAAATCAACACACTTAAACTTTCAAGTAGCAGCTGAAAAAAAATAAATTAAATTTCATTACAGCATGAATTATTTTTAAATAAGGAAGTTGTACACACAAACAGCATGTCATGAAAAATATGCCTTTAAACAATGCACACCTGAGAAAGAATAAAAACTTGTGTATGATCCTTTAGCGGAAAAAAAATGATGAAAGGATCCTTTATATACAACAAATAAGGAAATGTTCTCAAAAGAAATTTGAAAGTAAATTTAAAAATGAGCAATATACATGTAACTTAAGTATGCTACATATATACATACTTTGACACAATTAAAGTAATCTCAATATTGAGATGAATGGTAATTTATTTTCAGAATCACTTTATTTAGTCTATACATTAATTTTTAAGAACATTTGCTTTAGTCTATACATGAATTTAAAGTATATATTTGCATTTATTGCATTAATAAACAGTTTTATAAATTGAATAAAATAAACAGGATTTTTTTTTTTCTCAATCGAGAGAGAGAGAGAGAGATCGTTATCTTCGCAATAAAATTTTCGAGTTTTTGTTTTTATTTTAAAAAATGTAGCGTTTATCTTAACTTGTAACATCGTGGATTTTTTTAATCTTGATCTTCAAATATTTACTTCCTTCTTCTGGCCGGTTATCTATCTTTATAAGGATAATAAAACAATTTTTTGATCAATATTTTTAAAAGGGTGTACCTGTGCATACCTGTCCAGATCATTAACTACTACTGAATACTATAAATGTTTTATTTTTCTGACCTCAACTAATTTTTATAAGACTGTAATATATGTACGATGTTTAAAGCGTGGGTAAGGTTTTCTATCAAATTGTGTTTGTACCCCGTCTGTTAGATATGCACAGTTTTAACTTCTTCTAAAGAACCTGAGTATAGGGAATTCAAAATTGTTGAAATGAAATACATACCCTCTTCAAAGGGAGATTATTGAGATTCATGAAAACTTGGCAATTGGCAATTCCTAAATATCCTTCTTCTGAAGACATGAAAATGATGGGGAAGATCCTATTGAAATCGTGGATTCATTTTTTTTTCAAATCATGACTCATGGGGGTAGGGTGGGGCTACATTGGACGATCAAAGTTTTACATAGAAATATACATAGAAAATCTTTAAATATTTTTCTAAAGAACAACAAAGCCATGATTGGTCATATCTATATGGAAGCAACCCCAGGTAGTGTAGATTAAGTTTAATTCAAATCGTGACTCCTGGGGGTAGTCTGGGACCATAATGGACGGGCAAAGATTTACATAGACACACATAGGAAAGTTTTTAAAATCTTCTTTACAAACACAACAATGTCATGATTATTAGTCATATCATATCGATATGCATATTTATATGAATATCTTCAGATAGTGTAGATTCATGTTTGTTCATATCATAACCTGGAGTGGAGTGGGTTTACTCCTATGGATTAAAACATTTCAATACTAAACTCAGAGCTATTTTTTTTCCTAGGCACAATGCCAAGGTGAGTAAAGTAGCCCATGTGCCTTTTATTCATCATTCTTTCCATGAACCTTTTGTTTTGATCATATTCAAGAGAAAATTAAAACTATGTCCATGCATTGTTATGTCAATAAGTTTCAAGATATCATCAAGTACATGTAACAAAGTTACCGACTTGCAATTTACTGAATGAAGCTACTCCTACGTGATTGAAGTACAACAAGTGATGCGATATTGTCTAAATGATATCCAATTTACTCTCTATTAATGAACTGCTAAGCTCTCCCTCAAAATTAATATTTCGAAGTTGTTAGTGTTTCAGAAATATTTGTGATTTTGTATGCAAGTCTCGCACATAGACAAAGCAAACGTGTTTGGCCATTAAAGGGGCATAGACACAGTTTTAACTAAAAAAATCAAGGTTTTATTTTTCCATTTTAAAAATAATTAAATAGTATTGCCAATGATAAAAGATTTGAACTTCAGTTGTCAAGATACATGAAAGATTTATAGCACCAAACCTTTGTTATGTAAACATGGTCCGTGTCATGTTTTGTTAACATATGTTTAATATACCGGTATACCAATATATGTTCGCCGAAAGCAGATAATTTCAATAAAAAAGTAAATTCTAAACACGAGTAGTCAGTTTCAAGTGATTTGCTGAATTTCATTTTGGTATAAACAATTGTTTCATACTTGGATATTTCACTTGAAAAAGACGTGAATGATAATCTCACAACCAAGTTATATGATAAACGTGATGATTTAACTTTTTTATTGTCAACTTCCCTTACTTATAATTATGCAGCAATATACCTTCATCACCTGCATACGTAGTATATATATCTCAGTTGATTCGATACGCAAGAGCATGCTCTACGTATGAACAATTTCTAAAACGAGGTAAATTATTGAAAATTAAGTTGATGAAACAAGAATAACAGCAGACTCGTTTAAAGTCATCATTTCGTAAGTTCAATGGTCGATACAATGACGTTGTCAGCAAATACAATGAATCATTGAGTCAAATGCTGACTGACGTTTTTCATATTTATTGTTAGTCCATTATTTATGCATCGAATTGAGAACAGATTTTCCGTTATAATCTGATCATGACAAGGAGCACACGGCGGATGTGACAGGTCGGCAGGGATCCTCACTTCTCCAT